GCATTTGTTGAAATTTACCCCCATTTTATGACAGCCATGACAACCATTTCTGGGTTCTTCTGGCTTAAAGGAGATAAGGGCCCTTGCCAGCAGATTTTGATGGAGGTGATTAGGTGACTTCCAGCAGTGTGGTAAGGAGATTGTGATCAAAGACAGAGCTCAAGACAGCCATCCATGAACTGGGTGGCCTGAAAGTGCCTTCAGTGTATCTAGATCCATGATAGTGTGGGTGTATGAAAAGAGGATTCCATAACAGTATCTTAGAGAAAATTCTTCCTTCTTCCTGGTCCATCCATCTCAATGACCTTCAACTAATGAAGGTGTGCAACTCAAAAGAGAATAGAATAGAATAGAATAGAATAGAATAGAATAGAATAGAATAGAATAGAATAGAATAGAATAGAATAGAATAGAATAGAATAGAATAGAGCTGGAAGGGACATTGGAGGTCTTCTAGTCCAGCCTCTTGCTCAACCAGGAGAAGCTATACCATCTCATAGTCAAGCTATTTTCCAAAGCGCCTAAAGGCAGGACAAGAAGCAACAGGTGGAAACTAACCAAAGAGAGAAGCAACCTAGATCTAAGGAAAAACTTTCTGAGAGTTAGAACAATTAACCAGTGGAACAACCTGCCTCCAGAAGCGGTGAATGCTCCAACACTGGAAGTTTTTAAGAAGAAACTGGAGAGCCATTTGTCCGAAATGGTATAGGGTTTCCTGCCTGAGCAAGGGGCTGGACTAGAGGACCTCCAAGGTCCCTTCCAACTTTATCATTATTATTATCTCAAACAGGTGAATGTCCAGTCTCTTCTTAAAAATCTCCAGTGCTGGAGCACCCATGATTTCTGGGGGTAAGCTGTTCCACTGGTTGATTGTCCTCACTGTCAGGAAGTTTCTGCTTAATTCCAGGTTGCTTCTCTCTTTAACCAGTTTCCAACCATTGTTTCTTGTCCTGCCCTCTGGTGCTTTGGAGACTAATTTGACCCCCTCTTCTTTGTGGCAGTCTCTCAAATACTGGAATACTGCTATCATATTGTCCTATTTCTTCTTTTCTTTAGATTAGCCAAACCCAAGTTCCGCAGCCGTTCTTCATATGTTTTGGTCTCCAGGCCTTGGATCATCTTAGTTGCTCTTCTCTGAATTGTTTTCCAAACTCTCAACATCTTTTTTTGTGATAAGGTGACCAAAATTGGTTGCAGTATTCCAGGTGTGGTCTCACTAGGGTTTTAATCCTGGAATGAAAATGAATGCTTCTATTTGACCACAGATTTTTCAGCTCTATTTAAAGGGTTCGTGCACAATGTCCGTTAGCAAGCTTCAGCAATAATTCTGCATTTTAAGGCTTTCCTGCCTTAAACTCCTCTTTTCAGCTTTTTGGTTCTCCTCCTTTTTTTTTTTAAGCAATAAAAGCATCAGCAGCTTCTGGGGTCACGGCTGGCAGATCTTGCTGAGGGTGGTACTTGTGGAATTCCCTGACAGGGAAAACAAGGGAACAGAGCTTGTAAATAAGTAATGGGAACTTTCCCCGATGTTTTTCCTTTTGAAAGCACTGAAGGAAAGAGGGGGGGGGGAGAAACACTGCAGAGGAGAGGCAGAAGGAGGTTGGAAAAGTAATGAATTCAGGAACTGGCAGGCAAGAAATCCACCAATGGTTCAGAAGAATCCATTTCCATGATCGGCAAATCTGATAAGAATAACAGAATATTAGTTGGAAAGGACTATTGTCCCTTCTATTGGAGGTCTTCTAGTCCAACCCCCTGCTCAAGTAGGAGACCCTATACCAGTGGTTCTCAACCTTTCTAATGCCGTGACCCCATAATACAGTTCCCCATGTTGTGGTGACCCCCAAGTGGGTGTGGCCACCAATAAGAGGGAGTAGGACAGCTAGGGAAAAGGGAAAAAAATGGCAGACAACCCCCGTGAAATGGTCTCAAAAGCAGGTTGAGACCCTATACCAATGATGGCGAACCTTTGAGAGACCAAGTGCCCAAAAACCACCCCGCCGCCATCCCCACTCTGCACCATGCCCCACCCGCAGGGCCACCCACCACTTCCACGGCCCGACGCAGCAGATCGCTCAGGCAGCCCAACAGCGCCATGGTGACCACATCTTCCACCCATGTCCCACGGCATCATCTGCCCGCGACGGGGTGCAAGGGCGGAGTCTTGTCTGTGCTGCCAAGCTGCCATGTCCTTGGCTGCGCTGCTCCGCATGGGCCACGCCCAGGGGCAACTCTTCATCGAGGGGGCTGCTCGTGAGGAGTGGGCTGCAGGGGGAGATGGGGCTGGGAGGACAGCACATGTGCCCACAGAGAGGGCTCTGAGTGCTGCCTCTGGCACGCGTGCCATAGGTTCACCACTACTGCTCTAGGCCATATTTCAGACAAGTGGCTGTTCAGTCTCTTCTTAAAAGCCTCCAGTGAAGGAGCACCCATGGTCTCTGAAGGCAAGTCCTTCCACTGGTTAATTGTTCTCACGGTCAGGAGATTTCTCCTTAGTTCTAGATTGCTTCTCTCCCGGCTTAATTTCCATCCATTGTTTCTTGTCTTGCCATGCTCTTCAAGTGTCTTTTCCCCGTGCAAAAAATTTAGCAGAGCCAGCTAAACCCTATAGCAGGTTAGCTATCCCTCTATATCCACAGAGGGTAGTATCAAGAGCACGTGAAGTGTTAGTACCACTTTATTCTGCATGGGTGAGGCCACACACTTGGAATATTGCATCCAGGTTTGGTCAGCCCAATATAAAAAAGATGTTTGAGATTCTAGAAAGAGTACAGAGAAGAGCAACCAAGATGATTAGGGAACTGGAGGTGAAGATATATGAAGAACAGTTGCAGGAATTGGGTATGTCTAGTCTAGTGAAAAGAAGGACTAGGGGTGACTGGGTAGCAGTCTTCCAATATTTCAAAGGTTGTCACAGAGAAGAGGGAGTCAACCTATTCTTCAAAGCCCCTGAGGGCAGGACAAGAAGTAATGGATGGAAACTTAACAAGGAAAGATCCAATCTAGAACTCTGAAGAAATTACCTGACAGTAAGAACAATTTATTTTTATTTATGAGACTTATATACCGCTTTAAGTGCAAGCACTCTCTAAGCGGTGTACACCAGTAACCAATGTATATATATATTTACATTGCCCCCAACAATCTGGGTCCTCATTTTACCTACCCCGAAAGGATGGAAGGCTGAGTCAACCTTGAGCCGGTGAGATTTGAACCGCTGACCTGCTGAACACAGTCAGCTAAAGTGGCCTGCAGTACTGCACTCTAACTGCTGCGCCACCTCGGCTCTTACAATTAATCAGCGGAATGGCTTGAGTATATAAGGATAGCTTTGATTCCATCATGGGCCATCCTAAGATGAGGGTGGCTCAGGACACTGGGCCCCAAGAGAGGTTGTGAGGAAGGCTATTTCTCCTACACCAGTTTAGATGTGGAGTAGCACCTGCATTCTTGATGTTGCAGAGATCTGTAGTACAGACAAGTGATAGCTGATGTTCTTAGCCATCAGCCACAAACTCCTAACTTGAAGTGAAATGAGATTTGAACTAGCGTGAAGATTCATACAATTCGTGCATAATGTCAAATTATGTCAGAGGCGAAAAAACAGGTCCAAAAGATGTTCCAAATTATTGATTTATTGCTAAAGCCACTGTGCAGGAATCTTCTCAATTAGCACATGGTTAGAACTGGATAAGGGTCAACAGTATTCAAGTGTGTGTGTGTGTGTGTGTGTGTGTGTGTGTGTGTGTGTGTGTGAGAGAGAGAGAGAGAGAGAGAGAGAGAGAGAGAGACTTATTTTTCTTGTGTCTGCATAATCATTCTAAGCTGATGCCTCATTTAACTCCTCCCCCTGGCCCTGCCAGTTCTTGTCTGAATATTAATAGTGCTTGAACTATTATTTACTGTTACTTAACATTAGATGGTAGAAAATGGAAGAACTAATTAAATATCCTCCCTGTTGCAAAGAGTGATTTTGTTGAGGCTTTCAGCCAACAACTAACTAGCTTAATCTGTTCCATACTCCATTCTTTTTTGTTGTTGTTCGTTTGCTTTCCCATCTGATATTCAGTATTCTGGGTTTATGGGGAATGCTTAATCTTTATTGCCCTGCTTCTCCCTCCCCCCCATCTTTTAAGTTGATGCAAAAAACATTCTTTTATCTATTATGTCAGATTCCCAAAGAGAAGGCTCAGTGGAAACCCTGATTTGATAACTTTCCGGATGCAAGGATTTGTGCTGGACACGTGTCTTTTTGCATGTGTGTTCATTTGCAGCTTGTAATGCTATACAGGTAGTCCTTGACTTACGACCACAACAGATTTTCCATTGCTAAGCAAGGCAGTTGTTACACACCCAACTTTACAGCCTCTTTTTTTGGCCATGAAAATTACTGCAGTCGTTAAGCGACTCTGGCTTCCGTCATTGACTTTGCTTATTGGAAACTGGCTGGGAAAATTGCAGATGCTGATCACAAGAACCCAGATGTTGCAACCGTTGTAAATACATGCAGGTGTCAATTTTGATCTTGGGATACTGCAATGGTCGTAAATGTGAGGATGGGTCGTAAATCACTGTTTTCAATGCACTGTAACTTTGAACGTCTCTAAATCAGTGTTTCTCAACCTGGACACTTTTAAGGCATGTGGGCTTCAACTCCCAGAACTCCACAGCCAGCAATGCTGACTGTGGAATTCTGGGAGTTGAAGTCCACATGCCTTAAAATTGTCAAGGTTGAGAAACACTGCTCTAAATGAAATGGTTGTACGTTGAGGACTGCCTTAGTTTAGCCAAGAAAATCCTATAGAAAGAAGACTTTCTGAAATGACTTGCACGGCATCATTTGGGCGCAGACCTTCCCTAGCTAGGGGCCCCAAACTCCCCGTGTCCTTTCAAAAGGGAGAGACTAGCATTCCCACCAGGTGCAAGGCGCATGGCTTCCTCATCCCCTCCGAACGGGTGGTGGGAGGCGGTGGCTTTCTCCCTGGGGGGGGGGAAGAGATCGTGGCTGATGGGCCTTGTGTTTGTCTTTCAAGCTGATCAGTGGCGGTTCGATTGTCAGTGCCGAGGCAGTATGGGATCACGTCACCATGGCCAACCGGGAGTTGGCGTTTAAAGCGGGAGACGTTATCAAGGTGCTTGATGCCTCCAACAAGGACTGGTGGTGGGGACAGATCGACGATGAAGAGGGCTGGTTTCCGGCCAGCTTTGTAAGGGTGAGTAGCTTTGGTTTTTCTCTTTTCCCTCCCCTTGCTCCGTTGAGCTGGCTTCTTCATAAGCAGGTGTGGCTGGGCCCAGAGCTGGTGGGGCCAGCCCAAAGGTGTCATTTTGGTCACTCCCATCTATTGATTATTTGAGTGTATGGTATATCCTACATGGACTTGCAATATGTATTAACATTTCCCCTAGATTAAAAAATGCAATAAAATATAAATGTTAAAAAGATCCATGTTCAAATACCAATGTCTAGCTCAGGGGTCCCCAACCCCCATGCTGTGGACTGGTACTGGGCTGTGGCCTGCCAGCAACCGGTCCACACAAACAAGCAAAGCCCTATCCGTGGTATGCAGGCAGCACACAAAACCACACACTCTCTGGTCCATGCAAAAACCTTTCTTCACGGAACCAGTCCCTGGGGCCCAAAAGGTTGGGGGCTTCTGGTCTAGGCCATCCAACCATTGAGGCACAGCATCGTTTATATGGAAAAAAAAATCAGAAACTGGGCCAGTCTATGCCTCAGCTTACAACCAGTCACCTTGTGATTTACAGTTTGACGTGGGACGCCCGCAGTCACACTGAGGGGAGGATGCTATGCCCCATTTATACAGAGTGTCCCAGCAGTTGCCGTGTGAGGTGTAAAGCCTACTCAGGGTTGCCCTTTGCTGGCATGGTAGCTCAAAGCTGGACACCCTTTATGTGGGGTCATTTATATGTCTGGACATCCAGTAACCCATTTGGTTTTCCATCAGGAGTCTGTGTTAAAGTTGTTGGGAAGATGTTGGGCTTCCTGGATTGGAACCTTCCGGCTGATAAATGAAAAAGGTTCCTGATAGGAACAAGTTATTCATAATTTTTTGGGTTTATTTTATTTATGAGACTTATATACCGCTTTAAGTGCAAGCACTCTCTAAGCGGTGTACACCAGTAAGCAATGTATATATATATATTTACATTGCCCCCAATAATCTGGGTCCTCATTTTACCTACCCCGGAAGGATGGAAGGCTGAGTCAACCTTGAGCCGGTGAGATTTGAACCGCTGACCTGCTGAACACAGTCAGCTAAAGTGGCCTGCAGTACTGTAGGTCACCCCTAAATTGTACAAAATGCTAAAAAAATTAATTTTTGCAAATGGTTGCAGCTGCTACCACATTGCAACTGCTTGCAACTGAAAATTGCATCTGCTAAGCAAAATCTTCCAAGGGGTCTTGGGGTGTGCACCAACTGCTGAGGGCATCTGTAGCCTTTTCCTGGACTGGATTCACACTTGGCAAAAGCATAGGTTTTGTGGCAGAGGTTCATCTTTTCACAAGCAAACTGGTGATGACCCAGTGGCTTTTGAAAAAAAAAAATCAGATAAAGGCAGTGAGACAGAGGTACAAATGCTAAAACCGAACCTCTGTGTGTAGGTGCAGCCTATCTTTGAATCAGCTACCTCTGACAAAAAGCAACATCATTTACCAAACTTGGGATTTAAACTGCCTTCTGGCTGACATTGTGAGAAATCAGGTGATGAAATGAATGGATGTTTGGCCTCCTCCGTTATATTTTTCTAATGTTCTTACATAATGGAGAAACCGGGCTATTTTCTGTTTTGCATCCTTTCGTTTAGAAGCATGCTCTGCCCCATTTCTGTATTAAATCAAATAAATAAGAGAACAGTTTCCCCCAAATATGCGGGGTTTTTTGCATTTTATATTATTTTTTAAAAAAATTAAAACTCATTCTCTACGGTTTCACTATAAATTTTGAACTTCAAAATTCGGGGATGCCAGATTCAAGTTTCTGTAATAATGGAAAACTGCAAACATGAGACAAACTCTACCATTAGGGAATATAAGATTTAAAATGTTTTGAATAGGTCTTATAATTGTGGAATCTTTCTTCTTGCAGAAATCTGTGTTTGTTTTGGCTTTTTTTTTTTTTTTTTTTTTGCTGTTACTTATCCAATCGGCGTTCTATTTTCCATTGGCTGCAGAAATAATCTTTGCAACAAATTCTAATATTTGTTGTTCAAATGACTTTTTACTGCTTTGTTATGCTTTTAATTTTTTAAAACTGTGCTTCAATGGTTTCTAGGGAAAACAGACTTAAAACTACACATATTCCAGGGGTATAAATGGTTCTCCTCTGTGCATAGCACTTTTGATCTACAAGTATTCATTCTGGATTCTGTTTCTCAGCTATACATAGAGAAAATTGCAGGCAAAGGAAATAATAGACACATGCAGTCCACTGGTATTTAAACAAAGCTAGGAATAAAACTCAAAGCTAGGAATAAAACTCAGTTGGGAATGAGATTCAAAATGTGACTTAAGAAGTTCTCTTTATAAGCCAACAGATTTTTCTAAACAACTATTCTTCCAAGCTAGTAGTTAGAAAGTATGTGTGTGGGGGGGGGAACAGGAGACTTGCTGATTTTTTAAACAGGCTCACACTGATTATTCAAGTGCGCTTATTTTCTTAGTCAATTATTCTCTCCTGTTTTTGAGGCAGCGCTTTAATAAATATTGTGGCAGATTGTAGGTGGCTAGCTGAAGCGGACTGTGGCTCAGTGTGAACACAACCAAATCTGGAATTTTGATCCCTGAGCCTTCCTGGGTAGAAAAAAATATTTCTCAAGAACCAGCTTCAGAAAGATTTCCTTAACTAAGAATCTGGAGACATGATGGGAGACAGGAATACCAAGCCATAATATGATAAGCTGCCTTGCCTCTCTTTGGGATTGCATTTGCGTGAATTCGTTCAGATTCATTATTGATCTCCTGTCCAGTTGATTCCAACTCTAGGGGACAATGGTCCTCTCTGTTTCTTAACCAGCATTGACCGAAGCCAGCATGACTATACGCTGAGGCACACGGAATGCTGTTATCCTCCCATTGAAGTGGTACCTATTTATCTAGTCGCATTTGCATGCTTTCGAACTGCTCGGCGGGCAGAAGCTGGGGCAAGTAACGGAAGCTCACCCCGTTGCATGGTGCTTGGTTTTGAACTCAAACTCTCAGCTTTCCAGTTGACAAGCTCAGCATCTTTAATCACTGGAGCCATCACGCCCCCCTATTGACTGAGTATGTGTCATCAGATCATTGTCAGTTTTTAGCAAATACGTGGAGAGGCTTTCTCCATGACAGTCTGTCCCTAACTTGATTTTTCTGGTCTTCCAACAGTATACCCATTGCCTCTGTAACTGAATCCATCTACTTTGCTGCTGATCTTCCTCTTCTTCTAGGTGGGCCAAACAGCTATAAGAAAATTAACAGCCTTGCAGGGAGGACAAAATACAAATTCTCTCTATCTTGCTACCTCTTCATCCCTTTTTGTATAGGACCTTTAAATACATTTCTTGTACATACGTTTAAGCCTTCAAGACAACAGGGGTGAGTTAGCAATTAAGACACTGGGCTTGTCGGCTAGAAAGCTGACAGCCCAGGTTCAAGATCTGAGCTCCATGCCACCGGGTGAGCTCCCAGTCTTTGCTCCATCTCCTCCCAACCTAGCAGCTCGTAAGCATGCAAATGCAAGTACAGTAGTGGCCAAAATTGTGGAAACCTTTTGGGGAAAGTATATTTTTGAGGTTTGATGGCTAATAACACCAACTTTATTTTTGGAGTAGTACCATAAACTTATATATCAATGGAAAGATAATTTAATCAAGAATGTAATGCAACATAGTTTGTTCAATTATCTGTACTGTATTCTGTGAAACGTTATAGCCAAATAACCAGAAAAAGGAAGCACAACTTGCTTAGGTCGATATCGGGTAGCTTTCCTTCATCTGACTGTAGCCAATGAGTGTGAGTGTTTAGAGAGCCAATCAGCTGTCATCTTGTTTTGGTCATGAGCCAATCAGATCACAGTGGGATTCAGTTATTGATGTCACGTATTGAAGCTGAGAGGAGGACATTTGTCAGTGTGTTATGTGATCGCTATCAAGTTGGTTGGGCTTTTTTTGTGTTCTTTCATTTAGTGAGCTTGTAAAATGTAATAAAATTAAAGTAATGGTGCAAAGAGTTGACTGGTTGCCCAGAAAGCGATGTCGAATAGTATTATTAAGTGAACAAGGCTACAGTTATAAAGAAATTAGAAGAAAAATTGTGGAAACTTAACCAAAGGTGGCATTCCTACTGTACACTTTTCCCAAAAGGTTTCCACAATTTTGGCCACTACTGTAGATAAATAGGTACCACTTCCGTGGGAAGGTAATAGCGCTCTGTGATGTCATACTGGTCACATAACTGTGGAAATATCTTCGGACAGCCCTGACTCAATGGCCTTGAAATGGATATGAGCATCCCCCCCCCCCCCTTATAGTTAGCAACGACTAGCAGAGTAAAATCCGCAGGACTTCTTCAAGGTAATAGGACAATGCAAACAAAGAAAAAGAAAGTATACAATAATGGTACATGATGTTCTGGCTATGAGGTGGAGCTGTAAGAGCAGTTAGGAGGACTTATTTAGATAGAGACACTTAAAAAAAAGCAGAGTGGAGGATAAACATGGAGAGTTTCAAACAATGTACACCTGATGTCAGGTGAAATTAATATTCGTTGAGCTTCAACTCAGAAGCGTTATCTTTTCACTGATGATGGAAAGACTTAACAATGCTGAAGATGCCTTGGAATAAGGATAGAAAAGCAGAGAGGAGAATTCACAGGCAGAAAGAACAAGAATGAAGGTAGAACTGCCCTTGTCTAGGTCCAGGATGGCCATAACCAAAACAAGGGTAAATGAAAAGGTGATTTACTTCTTAAAAGTCACAGGAGCAAGAATAACATCTAACAGAGTAAAAACCACTGAATTCTAAAATTTCCTAACATAACCTGATTAAAACTATTCAGACATAATCTTTTGAAACCCTCAAAGGTGGCTGCTTCTAAGTGAACCATTTACTTACTTAGTTTCCTGTGATTTTTGTGTATATCCAAAGCTTGCAAGACCTTCTCAGTTTGGTGGACTAAGGAGAAAGTTTGTATTAAAAAGTCCTTTTCTATATCTTT